TAAAACAAAAACAAAAAACAGTGGGGGGCTGGAGAGATGGCTCAGATGTTAAGAGCACTGGCTGCTCCTCCAGAGGCTCACAACCGTCTGTGATGAGATCTGGTGCCGTCTTCTGGCCTGCAGAGATACATGCAAGCAGAATACTGTATACAAAATAAATAAATCTTAAGAAAAAAAACCAAAACAGTGGGATAGCAAATGTGAGATGTAAATGCAAGCATCCAGAGCCCCCTCTGTGGCACACTTGCTTTGTGCCAGGCACTGTGCACACGCTTTGGATACACAGTCTTCAGACAATCCATCCTGTGTGGTGGTTCATCCTTCCCCCTCCCTTGCTGTAAAGATGAGGCTAGAGACAGTGCAGTGGTGCACACCTTCGATCCCGGCAGCCGGGCTGCAGAGGCAGGAGGATATCTGTGAGTTCAAGGCCAGCCTGGAGTAGAGAGTTTAGGACAAATAGAGCTACATAGCAAGACCGTGTCTTGCAAAACAAAACAAAAACAAACAAAAGAGAAAGATGAGGCTAAAGTTAGTTGAGTACTTGCCCAAAGTTATTCATGTTAGGTTCAGTTGCTGCACTGGGATTTTCCTCCAGGCTGGTTTGATATCAGAATACATGCCTGCCACAGTAAAGGTGTCACCAGGAAAACCTGGAGCCTGACTCAGCATGGCAGCCCAGAGGAGGTGTTTAAGATGGCTGCAATCCCATCTTAAACAGAGCAGAGAAGACGAGGAGGGGACGGGAAGTCAAAGCAAAGGGGACAGACACCAGCCAAGCAAAACTTAGGCAGCATGGAGAAGGCAGGGTTTCTGGGAATGAGTAGACATGTCAGGAAGCAGATGAGGTCCAGACAATGTTTCATATTCTTCAAATTTACTTTAATTTTTTTTTTTCGAGACAGGGTTTCTCTGTGGCTTTGGAGACTGTCCTGGAACTAGCGCATGTAGACCAGGCTGGTCTCGAACTCACAGAGATCCTCCTGCCTCTGCCTCCTGAGTGCTGGGATTAAAGGTGTGCGCCACCAACGCCCGCTCAAATTTATTTTTAAAAATCCTTTTTTAAGTAGAAATTTTATTAGAGGAAACAGCTTTGTTGATAAGGTGGGTGAAGGCATGGCTTTTCCTATGCGTGCTTTGTTTGTTGTTTGTTGAAATAGAATCTCATTGTGTAACTCTGGATGGCCCACAGATCACAGAGATCCACCTGTCTCTGCCTCCTGAGGGCTGGAATTAAAAGCGTGTGCCACCATGCTCAGCTTCTTTCCAGGGAATTCTTTAGGAAGACATGGGAAATATCACTCTCATTTATTATGATTGGGATCCTTGACAGAACCCTAACTTGAAATGACTTAAGCAATGATATGTGTTTCTTGTATCTCACGTTCCGTATGTCACTGGAACTTTTAAGGCATAGCCTACATACAGAAATAGTAAACGTGGAAGTGTGTCTCTAAAGCAATGAGAGATGAAAGCCAAGGGCTTTAGGACTGGCTATCTGAACAGCTTGCGGGCAGCCTCAAGGACTCCTTTCTTCTTTCCAATCCATCTTCAGAGGCATTTGGCTCTTGCTTTGAAGGAAGTCTCACAGATTCCAGACGGCTGCGGCAAGCCCAAGCATCCCGTGTCTACAGTGTCCCCAAGCCAGAAGAGAGGCTGTTGTTTTTAAAGAAGAATTCCCCAGACTTGGCTAGAATTGTATTGGAGACAGGATGGAAGAAGACCAGCTTCCAGGCCAGCCACCAACATGCCTGCATACAGACACTCTTCCCGTCATATCACTGGTGCCATCACTTGGAGTGTAAGCAGCCAGCTGCTGGGAGGGCACCACCAACCCTCCTTCATGATCTTATGAATAAAATCAAAGATTCCCTTTGGAATTAAGAAGGGACTTTCAGTGTTGTAAAGGCTGCTTTCTTACGTAGGTTTCCGGTCCCATGTCCTGTCAGTGGCTGCCCCAGCTGTGCAGTTGACCCCCCACACTCTTGGGGTGGGTCTCTCACGGCACTGGGGCTATAGTCAGCTTTTCCACTTCCAACACTTAGCACTGGACTGCGGTTCTTTACATGGTAACAGTGATCTGCACTAGTGTCCTAGACTAGCTCGGGCTCCACTGTGCGCATGCACGACTCAGACGGCGGCGTGGATCTCAGCAGCAAAGTGCAAATGAGACCACAGTAATGTTAGCACTTCATTCTGAGCAGCTCTGGCCTCGGCTGCTCATTCAGGAATTCTGATGCACACTTTGAAGCCTCTCCAGTTATTTCTAGACCGCCTACACAGTTGTGCCTCATGTGAGCTCAGGCACAAGGTCCCTTGGAGTCTCCTCCAGCCTCTTGGCCACTGCCCAGCTTGCTGGTGGCACCCCTGCTGGTTGTGTGCCTGTGGCCTTTCCATGAAGTACAAATGAGAAACTGCCCTGTCGGGTGGGAAACGCACACACGGAGACCTATGGCAGACTGAGGAGCTAGGAACAGTGGCCTCTCTCTACACTGGGTGGCAATTAGCCCCCACCCCCAGCACTGCTAGATCCCAAAGCCTTACAGTAGGTCTTCTACACAGTGGCTCCTACACATGCTCACCCTCGCTCTGCCACCATGTGGCTCACACCAACAAAGCAGGTGCTCGGCATTCTTCAGTCAACATTTTTTATTAGTCAGCTGGGGACATGGTTCAGTTGGCAGAATACTTGCTGCACAGACAGGGGACATGAGCCCAGATCCCCGGCACTCACATAAGAAGCCAGGTGCAAGGGGCTGGAGAGATGGCTCAGTGCAGAAGAGCATTTGCTCTTCCGGAGGACCCAAGTTCTCTTCTCAGAAACCCAATGCCCCTTAACAACTGTAACTCCGGTTCCTGGGGTTCTAGGAAAGCCTCTTCTGAATAAACAAAATGGAAGGATAAACCGAGTACTGTGCGCAGGCGTGCCTGTAATCCCAGTGCCGAGAAGTGGAGATGGGGCTCCCTGGAGCTCACGGGCCAGTCAGTGTAGCCAAATCCGTAAGCTCTAGGTTTAGTGAGAGATTTTTTTTTTATACTCTAAATACATAAATAAGGTGGAGGGTGTTTGAGAACCCAAGTTGATCTCTGACCTCTATGTCACCTGCATACATGTTCACACACATACTTAAAAAAAAAAAAAAGACACAAAAACCCTCCTGTTTTTCCTTACCCCTTAGGAAAGTTCTCCCATATTAGATCAGTTTCTCTCATGGTATGGAGCAACTTAGTGAAAAGCATAAACCCCTCAGGCTGAGATCAAACCAAGTCTGCCAGATACTAGGGTGACTTTAAATAGTAACTTCACCTCTCAATATGTATTTCTTCATCTGCCAAGCAGGGTAATGACAGTGCTTCGTAGCTTGTGAGGACCAAAGGATACAGTGTAGTGAACGGCCACGTGGCAAATGCCATCAAGTAATGCCTACCGACAGTTACAGTCTTGTCGGCAGAAGGTCACGTGCCCACAAGTTTCACAAGCAGCTTTTGGGCAAATTCTTCCCAATTCCCTCGGCAAGCCACAAATGAAAGAACTTAGTGTGCTGGGAGAAAATGCATTCTTCCTTTCAGTCTTAAACAAAATATTCAAGGGTAAGATAGGCAAATTCAAGGGCCTGTGTTCTTGCTGAATAAATTAGTGGTTATTCCCTTGGAACATTCTGTGAGAAGACAGCCAAACACAAAACCCAGCACTGCGAGGAAATTGAGAAGAAAATATTAAGAGCCGTCCCCCTGCTCACGAAGCATGCACAATCAAATTAAAGGAGATAATAATAAGCAAATATGGTCATTAAGAATATGTGTTGGCAACAGATTTCCACATTAAAAAAAATGGTACAGGGTAAATGCTAGAGTCTCGTTCGAGGAGAACGGGTAAGAATTATGAATACAAGGCCTCTGATGTTGCAAATTTACACTCGTTTCTAAAGAGGCGTGAGCTCTGGCCCGGCCTTGCCCTTTTGCCCTGTTAAAAAAAAAAAAAAAAATGAAGCCAAGATAGTGACTGAAGATGACACTCAGAAAGGCAAGGAAACGAAACCCTGGGGACATGAGAAGGAAAAGCGGCCCCGCATTCAGGAATCTGGTTGGCGTCTCTGGCTGACGGAGACAATGGCCCACCACTTCAGGTCCCTTCTCCCTTCCCAGATATGAAACCACGGTTTTCTGGACTCTCCCCAGAGACCAACCACACACGTTTGCCAGGGGAGGAGGACACCAACTGAACCTCGCTGGGCGACCCCTAGTGGCTTCTGGCCGCAGCGTCGCCCCCCGCATCCCCGCCCTCGGGCTCCCGGAGCCAGCGCACTTAGGTCACTCAAGAAAGTGGGGAGGGGGTCTCCTAGCAACCGTTCGAGACCTAGCTCAAGAGCCACCAAAACAGGGCACACGGCCGACCCGAGG